TAGCTTCTTTGAATGGGCATGAAGGGACGATGAAACTACTGCTCGCCCGGGACGATATCGATCCCGACATGCCAGACAATGGTGGTCGAACCCCACTTTGGCAGGCTTCTAAGATTGGACGGGAGGGGGCCGTGAGGCTACTACTCACACGGGGCGATATCAATCCCGACGAGCCGGGAATCCTTGGCCGAACACCACTCTGGGCGGCTTCTGCGAATGGGCACGAGGGGGTGGTGAGACTACTACTCTTACGGGATGATACCAACCCCAACAGGCCGGACAATAATGGTCGAACCCCACTCTGGTGTGCTTCTGAGAATGGGCATGAGGGGGCAGTGAGACTACTACTTGCACGGGCTGATATCGATCCCGATAAACCGGACAATGATGGTCGAACACCACTCCGTACGGCCTCTCGAAATGGGCAAGAGGTAGTAACCAGACTACTGCTCACCCGGCGCGATGTCAATCCCGACAAGCCGGACAGCTGCGGTCAAACACCACTTTGCGTAGCTTCTTGGAATGGACATGAGGGCGTGGTGAGACAACTGCTCGCACGGAACGATGTTGATCCCGACAAGCCGGACAACTTTGATCAAACACCGCTATACGGGGCTTCTCAGAATGGGCAAGAGCTAACAGTGAGACTATTACTCACACAGGACAATGTCAATCCCGACAAGGCGCACAGCCTTGGCCAAACACCACTCTGGTGTGCCTCTGAGAATGGCCATGAGGGGGTGGTGAGACTACTACTCTCACGGAACGATGTCGATCCCAACAAACCGGACCATTTTGATCGAACCCCGCTCTTCTGCGCTTCCCAGAATGGTCATGAGGGCGTGGTGAGACTACTGCTCTCGCAGAACCATGTCAATACCAACAAGCCGGACAACAACGGCAGAACACCACTCCTAATCGCCTCCGTACATGGAAACTGGGAGATTGTAGCGCTCCTCCGGCCTCGGACATACGTAACCCCGAACTTGGATTAAGCCCAAAGACAGATCTGCCTATATTCCCCTTCTCCACACGCGTACTTGAACCCTTTCGCAACACTTTCCATTACACACCCCCTCGTATCAGCCCGGTCCCTTCTCTCTCCGAAGTCCTTTGCCGCCGCCGAGTTTATTAGTTACCGCCCTGTGGGCACTCTCCCACTAGCCTCTTTTCTTTTTCCGTTTTTTTCCTACACCCCGATCATTGAAACTATCTTGGGCATGGCACTTGCCGGAATGCACTTCATTTATGCACTATACAGGCACCTAATCCCCTCAGGCCCTCCCTACTCTTTTTTTCGGGCTTTTTTCATTTACTCGCGCTACTTGCCACCATTATTCTCATGTTATTCTCCAGGTTCTGGCCTGACATGTTACTGCTCCGGAAGTCCTTATTTTTTTTTTTCTACGTGTATGGCTTCCCTTTTCTTTTCCGACAAAACAATTTATTTTTCTCCCAACCTCTGCGGTAGAACTCCAGCCTCTCGTACTCACTAAAAACTGAGGTTAACCCGAGTGCGTGAAAATGGGGGAGGGAGGGGATAGTTAATTTATGAAAAACACGAAAATCCTAGCGCTTTCCGAACCAGGCTTGCTTCCAACATTGATCCAAAACCTGTCAAGGTCTACTAAGCTGGTATCATACTCGCAGAGAAACCTTGAAAAAATAGATGGGGATTTTTGCTCCAAATACAAATTACTCCAGATTCGGGAGTGTAGCGCCGCGGGGGGCATCACAAATGCCGCGACAACTACAGGCCAAGCCACCGATGTTGTATGACAAATCACGCGGCAACCATCCCCATCCACTTCAAACATGGCCCATCCCGGGTATATAGAATGGGAAAGCAAAGCGTTAAAGACATCGTAGGTGATATCATCCTTCACTCGCCTTCACTCGGTTTTATACCTCCTCCGCGATAAATCTCTGCATGCCAATGGTCCGCGCTGCTCTGGCCATATTTTGGAAAAGGCGAAAGAAAACTTGAACAAAGGGTGAATTCCGGTGCCTTTTCATACCTGTTTACCCCCCCCCCCTCTTCCCAAGGGTTGGGTAGTCCGTCTTCTTTGGGGATGTAAGAGTCGGTGCACCGGTAACTTGCATTGCTGTACCGTGTATAAAGTTACTTTTCCCTGGTTCCTCACCTTGGCTGACGTGGCGAGTGATTATCCGTGAGGCCAGTTTTGGTATCATATTAGATTTCCGCTGGCTCTCGCGTGAGATGATCCCAGTGCGAACTCGGCTCTTTCCCCACGGGAGTCGAGAAAGACACTTTGTTCCAATAGAGTTTATCAGCGGCACCCGGACTCCTGGTGTCATGCGAGCATCATACAGCACCCGGTATTGGCACTGCGCAATGGGGCGTGACGTGGGGGGCCGCGATCTAGTAGTGATGCGTTTCAAAGCTTGATAAGGCCCGCAATGGGCCTAGAGCTCTGTGGGCCGGGCCGGTGATATCTTGGGAAGGGCTGGAATGGGTTGCCAATTTGGATCTGGGACAAGTTAGGCTCATCCGGGCGCGATCCGGGCAACCCACATTGCGACCTTAGTATCGGAGAAATTGGCTTAGCTGGAATGGCGCTGGAGGAGTGTGGGAGAGAGTACTCGAGTAGATTATCCCTAGAAAGCTCTTTCGAACCTGAAAGCGACCTTGTGCGGCTGACGGAGTTATGATGCGGCCTTGTGCCTTAACTTGTCCGGGCAAGGTGCAACAAGTACGGTAGGTTCACCATCCTGCTTTCAGACGTGCGCGGAAGGAAACAGAACTAGAGTTAGGCGCGCAATAGGCTTCTCGCATTTCCGATTGGGACGATGCCAGCAAGATCTTAGATCGTCCTCGATGGCCTCTTCCTGATTACAGCCCACTTTGTAGACTATGGTGTGTGCCATGCTCCCGTTCAAGTCTCCCGTTCGGTCAGGACATAATCTCTGCAGGTTGATGACCTAGGATCTGCTAGCTGATATAAATAGGTGTTGATATCATAATTTATGAGGAAATTGGCCGGACGCCTTTAACCTACCGGTAGGTTTGGGTTATTGAAATCAAAGAGTTTGCATAGCGGCCAACCTCACCTCCTAAAATACAGCATTTAAAAGGCCGTAGACACACGGATTCCTTTGGCCAAATATTTTTTTTAAAAAAAAGCCGTGGGAAGGTATCATACTCTACAAGTATGATACCAGAAGAATTGCAAGAATCAAAGCAAATTTGTTGCGCTATGAGGGCGGGCCAATTTTCGCATATCAGCACCCAAATGAAGTTTATTCTATTCAGGTTTGATAGATATTGTCGGGGTACTTGTACCCGAGTACAGTCCGCGTGAGGTTCCTCCTTTTTATCCTCCTCTCGCCAGTCTCTTCTCTCATGATATCATGCGAATACGTGCCAGAGTGACAAACCCCAGCGGCAAGGGGCGCGATCACTACAACTTGGGGCTGTTGGCATGAACTCGGATGGCAATCGAGATGGTCGTACCTTACATCTGTAATCTGCAGTATGGTACCGGGTGTGCATGACAAGGAAATGTCGGCTATCATCCGGGCGCTAATATTGAAGTTTATTTGTCGGCCGCGTCCTGCGTGGGTGTGTTGCTGTTGACCCGTAGCCCACGGTACCGCCGAAGGGGGGAGTGGATGCTGGTGATTAAACTGTTGTATGCATTCAACTTGATCGGATTGGCGGCACACGACGACCACAACACCCAACTCGGCATATCCAAGACCCTCTACTCCCTCACACGCAACCTATCTTGTCCGTTAACAGCGCTAATAACATACCGTCCTAAAATATAACAGGAATCTAGCCCGTCACGCGTAGCGTTTTGAATGGAGTCCTGGTTGGTTGGGCGGGGGCGGCGGCTTTTGAGATGGGCGTTTTGGTGACTGATACGTTTACGGGTAGACCGATTGGAGTCGTGTGGTTGGTTGATCAAATAGATGAGGCATAGGTCCATCGACGGTACTCGAGCCATGGCATTGCACGCGCGTCCACGTTGCGTCTGGAGCCCACGCCCCTCGTCGCCAAGGGTGGTGTCGGTATGAGATCTTCACCAACCGAACTTTTCATCATCCCTCAGGCACAGGCAAAGTAAAAGTAAAAAGCCCTCTGCCCTAAGCTCCGGTAAACTCTCCAACCCCGAGCTATGATACAGCACAATCACCTTCAGCTTCGAGACGCAGTAACATTTCTTTATTTACCCGTACGATACCGTACTCGTACAATCCTCCCCCCGTCTCACAACACCATACGAGCGCAGCGAACCGGGATTCGAGGTTCGCTACTGTACTCGTACCGTACCCATCAAATATACCCACTCGCCACGGTTTCGTCCTGAAGAATTATACCCCCGCGACCTCCAATCATCCCCCCCACGCCAAAAATATACCCCCTATGATACCTATTGTAAAGCGCTTGCTCTACAAGACTAGCCGATTTCGGGATACTTCCGAAATCGGCTAGGACGGGACCGGCAATAGCTCGAATACCGTAGATAAAACGGTCGAGAGAAATGAAAGACAAGAGGGAAGAGGATCGCCGTTTCAAGGAGCGGCCTAATGAAGTCATTTTTAGCAAAACCTTGATTTTTCCTCCAATGCCCACCAATGGCCGTGCCAAGGGACCCTTGCAGGGTCTTGCCCGTTTGTCTAGGCCACCGTACCCAATCCCCCGTCAGGCTTTGTTCCACCTGTTTTTGTCTCTCTTTCGAGAGTACCGTACGGTACTCGTACAAGTACTTGTATGGGCAAGCTCGCTGTTACTTCCTCTTCTTTTTTTTTCCCCTTCTCTTGCTTCCTCGTGCTTTTTTTGTGATAAGGAAACTTGGTAGGAAGGAAGCTCTGCCATCGGGTTGTCTGCTGGGTGGGCCTTTTTTCATTCTTTGGTCACTCATTCTTGTTTATATTATTATTACTCAGGAGCTACGTCGTTGATCTTCGTGCCCCCCCCCCCCCCCGCCCGTATTGTTTGCGGTCAGGTATAAGAATAACGTTGGGGGTTAAAGCTTCTTCTTTCTCGGTCTTTTGCTCTTTTAATTCCCTCTTCTTCTCTTCCCCTTCTATTATCTACGTTGCTTTATCCGCCATCCTTTTTCTACTCAATGCCTTTGACAGCTTGAGAATTCTATATCAGGGATTGGAGGAGCAAACGAATTCTATTCTGGTTTCTGATTAGACTACCTTTTTTCTTTTCTTCTTTTTTTTTTCCCCCCCACGATCCTTTCGGTGGTGCGCTTCACCAGGCACGGCACAGCACTTTGACGAACAAACATGAGTAATTCATCGAGCACGATAACCTCGACAAGTGTCGCGGATGCGGTGGGGAAGTCCGCAGGGAAGGGACAGGAGGAGGAAGGAATGTCGTTGGAATCCTTCCTGGCTTCGTTAGCCGTGGCCGCGGCGGTGTTTGGTGTTGAGGTGTTGATCTTTGTTTTGCTAAGGACGAAGCTTCAACGGGTTTATGTTCCGAGAACTTATCTCGTTCCTGAAAAGTATCAACCTCTTTCCCTCCTGTGCGGTTTTCGGGAGACTGACAAACATAGACGACGAACGAGAGCTCCGGGATCGGGATTGTTATCGTGGTTCAAACCAATCTTCGCCACGGCAAACAGTGACTTCATCAACAAGTCCGGTCTCGACGCATACTTTTTCCTCCGCTACCTTCTCATGCTCCTGAAATGCTTTTGCATCCTCGCCGTCGTTATCCTCCCCATCCTTTTACCGCTCAATTCCCTTGGAGGCCGTGGGGCTCCCGACGTGCGCGGGATGGACCAGTTGGCTTGGACAAACATTGCTCCGGAGGATACGCGCCGCTATTGGGCCCATTTGCTGTTGGCGGTTGGCGTGGTTATCGTGTTCTGTTATATGTTCTACCACGAGCTCCGAGCGTATATCCGGTTGCGACAGGCATATTTGACTTCCCCGCAACACAGACTTCGAGCTAGTGCTACCACGGTTTTGGTTTCCAGTATCCCGAGAAAGTGGCTGACGGTCGAGGCTCTGGTTGGGTTGTATGATGTGTTTCCTGGTGGGGTTCGGAACGTTTGGATCAATCGGTAGGTCCTGTCCCCTCGCCGATAGAGCTGTGCTGATTACGTCAGTGATTATGAGGAGCTTCAGGAGAAGGTCGAGGAGAGAGATACATTTGCCAGAAAACTTGAAGCTGCGGAAACGGAACTGATTAAAATGGCCAAGAAGAAGCAAATGAAGAAATTAAAAAAGAAGGCCAGTACTTCCGCGGAAAAAGCACAGATTACCAATGCGGCGGCGGCAGGAGAGGATATTGCCAATGGTCCTGGCCTGTCTTCTGGAAATCCCCACCAGATCCCGCAAGGCCGTGGCCGCGGCAAGAAGCACGACAAAAGCGGGTCGAAGTTCACAAAGGTCAATCCCATCAAGGTTGTCGATGGTGGGTTTCAAAAACTCGGGCATGGTGTGATGGGTGGCGTTAGCACTATAACTGGCAGCGTAAAGCGGCTGAGGGGTGAGGTGGAGGATCACATGCCCAGTGCGGCCTACGGGTACCAGCCAGGCGGCGATGAACCTCCCGTCGCTAACAAACAACTTCCCCACCAAACTCTGGAAATTGATGAAACCCGACCGCTCGAAACTAGCCAGGACAGCGCACGGGCACAGAGAGGATCAACACTTGCGGGGCACGAGGCTATGCCCGGGGAGAGTAGCAACCGCAGCCCCCAACGGACCCGACCTACTGTTGATACGAGCGATACCGGCGTTGCCAATCCCCACCCTTTGGGAAGTCAACAGGCAACAGTCGATGCAACTCCTAAATGGATGTACTGGAAAAGGAAAAAGAAAGCCAGTAAAGGTCACAAGAAAGGCGATGATGATGAAACTCCCTTCAACTATGATTCCCCTACAACGCCGCATACGACTCATTCTATGGATTTGCCCGCCGAAGGTCCTAGTAAAAAGTATCCCAAGGCTTTCAACGAAAAATACGCTGATGACAAGGACGGAGACCCATTGTGGAAGCAGTATCTTTCACCAAACGATAGGCCCACGATGACTTTGCCTCCTTTCGGCGTGAAATGGTTGCCTTCTCTCCCACTCATCGGGAAGAAGGTGGACACAATCTACTATTGTCGGAAGGAGGTTGCCCGTCTCAACGTCGAGATAGAGCAGGATCAGGCCGCGCCTGAGAAGTACCCGCTCATGAGCTCTGCTTTTGTCCAGTTCAACCAACAAGTCGCCGCCCATATGGCCTGTCAGTCGCTCTCTCATCACATCCCGCGGCATATGTGCCCCCGCCACATTGAGGTCTCTCCCGACGATGTCATCTGGTCCAACATGAAGATTTCTTGGTGGCAAAGGTACTTACGAATCGCCGGTATTACTGTTATCACTGGCGGATTGATCATTGGGTGGGCTTTCCCGGTCGCCATTGTCGGTTTAGTCTCTCAGATCGACTACCTCACGGAAACGATCCCATGGTTGAGGTGGATCGATAAGCTTCCTAACTCGGTTCTTGGTTTGATTCAAGGTGTTTTGCCTCCATTGGGCTTGGCAATCCTGATGGCATTGTTGCCCATTATCCTTCGTGCATTTGCGAAGCTTCAGGGAAATCACACTGGTATGGCGATTGAGAGGGCTGTTCAGGGAATGTACTTTGCCTTCTTGTTTATTCAGATCTTCCTCGTTGTCAGTATCTCTTCCGGTATCACTACGGTTTTCCAGCAATTGGCGGACAACATTGCATCTGCGCCAGCAATTTTGGCCCAGAATTTGCCCAAGGCATCCAACTTCTTCTTTTCATACCTGTTGCTGCAAGCATTCACTGTCAGTGGTGGAGCAATTCTACAAATTGCAACACTGTTCGTGCAATTTATTCTTAGTCCTATTGTTGACTCCACGGCTCGTCAAAAGTTCACCCGGGCGACAGAGCTTGCTCAGATGAAATGGGGCACCTTCTTCCCCGTATACACGAATTTGGCGTGCATTGGGATTATTTACTCGATCATCTCTCCATTAATTCTTGTTTTCAACATCTGCACGTTTAGTCTTTTCTGGATGGTATACCGATACAATCTTCTCTATGTCCACAACTTTCGCTTCGACACAGGAGGTTTGCTCTTCCCCAGAGCGGTCAACCAGTTGTTTACGGGAATATATGTTATGGAGATTTGCTTGATTGGTCTCTTCTTTCTTGTGCGGGACACTGAAGGTCGTGTTGCTTGCTTTCCCCAGGCAATCATCATGATCATTGTCACGATCTTTACCGTCCTATACCAATATACGCTGAACTCGGCTTTTGGACCACTGTTAACCTACTTGCCCATCACGCTTGAAGACGATGCCGTCCTCCGCGATGAGGCTTTCGCAAAGGATAACGAAAGGCGAAGGCTGTTGGCTAGCGGTAATATCGTTCCAGAGGAGCAGGAAGGGGACGATCTCAATGAGGTTCTAGCAGAGCGAGAGAAGCAGGAGAAGCGCCTAGGTCAGCATGCGGGAGCAATTGAGATGCGGAACATCCGGAACGCTCGCGAAAACAAGAAGGAAGGAAAGTCTCCTCTTTTCTTTAATGGCAGAAGCCACGCCGAGAAGCCGGATGTCGGGGATCCAGATCACTATTCTGCCGATCTAGAACTGCAATCACGCCATCCGCCGTTAAAGAACCAGCCGCATACCAGATCGGAGCTAATGCTGTTCGAAAATATTGCCGACGAGATTGAAGACTTGTCGCCGGAGGAGCGGGACATCCTGGTTGGCAGAGCATTCCAACACGAGGCCCTCCGTGCAAAACGTCCAGTGGTCTGGATTCCTAGAGACGATCTAGGTATTTCTGACGACGAGGTTCGGCGTACGCAGAGGTTTAGTGACAATGTCTGGATTAGCAACGAATATACTGGTTTGGATCCTAAGGTTAGAGTGGTGTACAGGCGCCCACCGCCGGATTTCGATCAAAGGGATTTGGTGGAGCTGTAATCCCAGCCCCTATCATAGTTATCTTGTAATTTTTTTTGTTCCTTTTTGTTTTGCTCCATTTTCATTTGTGATTGGCATTTTGTCCAGCGATAAGCAACACATTTTCACCTTGATTGGTTATGAATGATGAGGTCGAGGTTGTATGAAGCAGCGAAAATTTGTACACTTTACTTTGTACCATATTGGTACCGTACGATACAAGTAGTGTATTGGCGTTTGTTGAAGAGATTGTAATAATTATAGAAGTAAATTATCATATCAGGGTATTTAGGACAAGTTACTTGGCTCGCTCGACGCACGTGAGGGAATGCCTCCTATAATTAGTGGCAGAAGCCGTCTGCCGTGGAAAGGGAGTGTGTAGCCCCTCGATTCTGACCAGACTAGACCGGGTGAGCCCTCAGCGAGGCGACACCCTCAGCGAGGCGCGGCGATATTTAGCAGCAAAGGATACCCGCGGTCAACGAGAGTA